GGGATAATGACACCTGCCACCCTCACAAGTTATCCTCAGATGGCACCAGGAAAGCACCACGTGCAGGCGATGGCACAGAGGGGGGTTTCTTAAAGAGCAGCTGTTTCTATTATTACATAACATTTAAAAGCAGGTGGATGCTGTCTCTGAAACGGTTCTGCCAAGCATCTGTGGGTCTTTAAAGGAAATGTGAAACTGAAACCCAGTATTCCTGTTAGGTCCTCTACTCCAGTCCTATGAAGCAGTCTCTTCATCTCCCCACCTCCCATAATTTTTTTAAATTTAATTACCTAGTACTAATTTAACAAAGGCAAACACAAACAAGCAAAAATTAGTGTCAGAAAACTCCATGAACATCCAGCCCCGACCCTTGCCAACAATAACAATATCTAACATGCAAGTTTGAGCCTATCCAGACCAGAATCCCAGAAAAGCAGATGACTTTGATGAATGACTTCAGTCATGTGATTCTGGGCCATCCTGAATGCTTCCACTCGAAATAAATGAGCACTCCAACAGCAGCTGCCCAAACAATAAAATTATTCCCCTCTACAGACTGCCCATGAGCACCAGAGGTTGAAGGATCAACTGGATATATCAAAAACCTTATTAAAATCAGGAGTGTTCAATGTTCATTTACTATCATAGATTGTTCCCTGCACTGTCACAGACAATTGCACTCATCAAAAGAGAAAACCCCACGGTGTGTCTTTTTAAAGCACAAATGTTAGTCTCCGAGAACTCTAAACAGCCTTTGCTTGTCAGATCTGCAACAGAGCCCATGCCCAAGCCACCCTCTGGGCAACATCCCTGTTTGGACTCCACTGCTCTCCATCGTTCTCATGGGGAAACGAGCATGGCCCACTGAGCCCACGAGACGGTACTATCAGTACTTTGTACTAACCTTAGGACGAAGGTGAGAAATGTACTCTGCTGGTGGACTCTGGACCGTGATGGTGGTCATTCTGATCAGACGTTTTGATCCCGCATGCCCTGCAGCCTCAGGCAGTATGCTCTGCCTCTTCTGCAGCACCTGACATGACTAAGAGGATAGATACAAATCTCAGGTGTTCTAGAAATTTAACTTCATTTTATTTACGAGCTTAACTTCTATTTCAAACTCTCATTCTGCCTTGTGGCAGAAATTTCATCTAAGCCGATTTGGAGTACTATCCCCGACCCCTGAATAACAAGTGTGGGTTAGTTTAGAACACCAAGGCTCTGTGCTTGGGCGGTTGTGCTAGTCATTAGGTAGTCACTACTAAAAAAGATTCCAGCTCTCTTCTTCCAAATATATAGGAAGCTTGTAATTCCCCACACACCTGAAGTGTGGCCACATGACTTGCTTTGGTAAATGAGATGTGAGAGCAAGTGGCTTTTCCAGAAGGAAGCTTTAAGTGCCAGTTCGTGCTCCTCCCCATCCTTTTTTAAATTTATTTTTATTTTTTTTATTCCTCTGCCAACTTTCCAGACAGAGGTTACTCCAACAGGTCCCTGGGTGAGGACAGCACTGACCTAGCTCAGAGCTTTCCGCTCATCTGCAGTAGACCTGTAGTGTGAATGAGAAATGAGGCTTTGTTATTGAGCCACTTAGGCTTGTTTTGTTGTTGTTTTTGTTACCTCACCATATTCTGGTCTACCTACAGGTGATGGCATCCATCCAAAATGTCCTCATTCCCACCTTGTCTTCAACTTGTCAATCTGTGGGGGGCATTGAGAAAGGCACCCAGTGTAAGACTAGTGGGGTGAGACCCAACCTGGGTTCAGCAACCTTGGTACTTGAGTTCTGGCTAGGAAAGAATCAGAGCCAAGACTCAAACTATAAGAGAACATTTATTTAGAAAATCAAATAGGTAAAAGAAGTAATTCGTAGAAGAAATGGGCCGAGGAAACAAGTTATGGAGGCAAAGGAAGGTCAAGGTGATGCGCTTGATGGGATGTGGAGGAGAATGGGGAAGGGCAAGGTGCAGCCTTGCTCCTGGGAGAGCCGCTAAGTCCTCCTTCCTAAGAGTTTTAAGGGTGTCGTCTTTAGTGACCGTCCCAGGAGAAAAGCTCCGTAGACTATTAAGCAACTTTCCAGGTGTGTCCTTTCAGGGTTGGGGTCTCCACTGATTGATTGATTGGCACCAGGGCAGGGGGTCATTATTCAATGCAGCTGGTTCTGAGGTCAGCTGCTTGTCTGATGTTGCTGCTTCTCTGGGCCTGGAGCTGAAAAACAACTGAGGCTTAGATGTTATCTCTAGCGAAGAAAGGTCCAAACCGCTTGACCATCAATATGCTAAAGGAGGAAAGGTCACCCTGGGGATGAGGTCTCGCCCTGTTGGCACCATGGCAGGGGGTCATTATTCAATGCAGCTGGTTCTGAGGTCAGCTGCTTGTCTGATGTTGCTGCTTCTCTGGGCCTGGAGCTGAAAAACAACTGAGGCTTAGATGTTATCTCTAGCGAAGAAAGGTCCAAACCGCTTGACCATCAATATGCTAAAGGAGGAAAGGTCACCCTGGGGATGAGGTCTCGCCCTACAATTGTCCATTGGTAGGCATCCAGGGCTGTCCACCTGGTGACTTCCTGTACCTGGCCCATTGTCCTTGCTCTGCTCATGTCTGTCTAACTGCCTATACCACAAATCCACACTGGCTGAGTCATCTTCCATTCCCCACCTCAAAGCCTCCTCAGGTCCAGACCTCTCCCAGCTGTCTCTGAGCCCAGTGGAATGCCCGGCTGTCACAGCATCACACTGGGCCATGTGAAATTCTGGGAGGTGTTCAGGCTTATCTGCCCAGGCATTCCGTGACACCTGGAGTCTCATGACTCTCCTGGGATACCAACAAGGAAAATGAGCAAGCCTGCCTCCTCTCTAGCTGGGGCTGCCCACCATTTCCATGTCCCCAGGAGGCTTTGGCCCATCCCTTTCCCAAATCCTACGACAGTTGCCCTCTTCTAGCGTTTCCTACAAGCCCTACTTCCCCTATCCTTGCCCCCCAAACCTGGGGAACCTTAATCTGGTCTCAGGCAAAAAGCCTTGTTCTGATTTATCAGTAGCTCCCCCCCTACCCCCCACCCCCCCTCAATCTCTTATGCCTGTTTGGTGTTTCCCAACCCCCATCTGCTGGACTTTTACAACTCAAAAGCCAAGAATTGCCTCCTGTTTGTCTCTGAATTCTGCCAGAGCCCTCATCCTTGAAGGCAATGAATGAGAATACCCCAGGTTGTCTGCATGGAGTGGAGACCAAGGAAATGACCAAGGTGCTGGTGATCTCAATTGATATTTCAAAATATCCTTCTGTACATGTGTTCTGCCCAATTATGAAGCTGAGAATTAATAAGAGCCTCACTCAGAGGAACCCAGTGTGTGACTATTTTAAGCCACTGTACAATCTCAATGGCCCCATTGTAGTAATGCTTTTGTACAATTGTTATTCTTGCAAAAGTCAGTGTGAAAGGTGAGGTAACAAAGTGAGGTCCATAAGTCACACCACTCACCACCTGATAACATTCATTTTTCTAATCTAGGCAAACCACCACATTCTTGGTGTTGGTGCAGCAAGGAACAGACCTACCCACGCTTCACCTCTTTATCTGGCCTTGCAAGACAAACAAATCCTGGAGATAGATGGCGGGCCTGATCCTTTCGGGGGCCGGGAGCCAGTGTCCGGAAGAGTGGAATGCGGGGAGGGACCAGGGAGCTGGAGGGGAACCGC